CATGTTAATAAAATTATGCAGGCAGAAATTTTCACACAGAAGCTATACATTAAGAAAGATGAAATTACAGTAATTACAAATCTCTAATTTTAGTTAAACCAGTCTAATCTTGGGAATATTTAATAGCTGCGTTTTAATAAAAATAAGTAAAACTAAATAGCTGATTTCTTTTTGTGTGCTATTAGTTTTATTAAGATTCAAGGTTATTAAGGGTAAATATTGTGTACTTCTATTTTTTTTTCAAAATTATTTATGGCAATAATATCATCACTATGTCTAAAAATACAAGTAAAGTAATTTTTATCAACTTTATTCAGTCAGTTTGGTAGTGAAATTTAGAGAAAAGATAATTGGCAAAATTGTGTCCAAACGCATTGGAATACCATTTACTTGTTGTATTGTAGATCCTCTAAGCTGTTTTAAGTTAAGAAGTATGGTATATTTAAGGAAATGTTTTGAATCCCCTTCTGCAATAACAGACAAGGATATGTAATATGAATAAGGTTTGTTTTGACACTTGGACCGTACTTTAAAATTTGACTACTGATTCCACAGCGAAACGCGAATAAGGTGTTTTCAAACATCATAAAAACTTTTATTTTCTCAAGTGCAGGATTAATACATGTGATGCCGAGAAGAATTTCTTCATGCATTCATTTTATATATTTCTTCTTAGTGTGTTTTAACATTTTACAGTACATTCCGTCTAAAAAGATATAAAAATTTGGAATTCTCTCGCTTCATTTTTCAAACTATACTTACTTACGTATATTTGCACATACAAATAAACCCATTTTTAATGAATGCATTTCAGAATACATTTTGAAGTCCATTCTTTAGTAGGACCCACGAGCGACCGAGCGATAAAGTTAGTGAACACTGGTACTTCGGGTCGGAGATTCGAATCCCGCGAATGGGCTGGTTGCATAGGAGTTTTCGTGTTTTTCTCCCGTGTGTAACGTGTATATGAGCCAGTTTCTTTTAAAAGGATCCTCCACGAAGTCATCCCTTTCCTTAGGCAGATAACCCTCGAGGCCTTACCGTAATAACATAAACTAAAGTAAACCAGCAATTCTCTAGTAATATCCTGTTAGGCCACCTAGTATTTAAAACAATTATAAATGGTTAGTAAGTTTCATCTGATAATCTTAAGTTTTTTTATGAAACTTAAAGTTTTTGATGATAAATCTGAAATATAGTTTTCTAAAGCATTTGTATCTGGGGTTATATTAATAACTAAACTCCAAGGTCAAATGGGAATAATATTTCAAAAGTTTATTTCTGTTTATTTTAATTTATTTATTTGATTATTGTTCATCGATACAAAAACATAACACTAAAGTTAAATGAGTTAGTTGAAATAGTTTATTGCAACTAAAATCGATTATTCATACCTTAGGCATAATTATAAATTCCTTGTTTGGCTAATTGGCCAAACCATACTACAACATGCTATCTGCCTAATAAGATGGAAGTCTTCGTGGAGGTTGTATAGCTGGAAACCAGCTGGTTCTCATGCTACAACTTTGAAAAACCAGAAAAGCCACAATGCAGTCAGCCCTTTCGCTACGTTTCTAACCTATGTCGAGGAACCAGTATTAAGATATCTTACCCACTTTGCCACTGGTGGGCATTAATTATTCTAATTTCAGGTTTTAGCATAGCATTAAACATCATTCCGGTAATTTTTATAATTTCCTACGCAGTCTCCTTTTCGGTTGAAAAAAATTGCATTTACACTAACCAATCCCTTATTTGAATTTAATAAGATTCCATTATTTATTTGCATTTCAGTTATAAATGGCTACAAATGATATTTAATAATTTGTTATTCAATTACAAATGATTCATAGAATACTAATCTTAAAGCAAAAATCAGATGTGTAAAATGTTCAATTCTAATTTTTCATTTGCAAAATTTCATTAAAAGCATATTTTACAGCCCTACTAAAGAGCTCAGGAGCAATCCATTTAACTTGACTTTATGGACACAAATCATACCATTCCGTTCTAGGTCTTTCGGACGCACCGTGCGACCTTTCACTGGCTTTGTTTCCGAGTCAAGACAGATGCTGAAGGTTTTTTCCCTAGGAAGCGAAACGAATAGGAAGGGCTCCTGAGAAATGTCATTTAGAGCTAATGAAGAGGTTGGACATGGCGTTAGTAAATGAGAGATGTGTTAATGGGTGACAAGAGGAGCAGAAGGGAAGCAAAAAAACTGCGGTTAAGATTCCTGTCAGCAGAAAAAGAAAACTTTGACAGCTGCACGTGTTTGAGTCCTACAAGGGAAAGTAGACTTATATATAGTTTTCTTTCCTCGCATTTGAGCTGGTTGCATTGTTTCTTTTACGGAACCACAGAGATAATCAAATAAAAGGAGGAAGTTTATTTTTAACGTTATTTTCATTAAATGCACGTTAATACTTAAGCAGAAATTTTGCTGCCCTGTTCACATCGCGTGTATATGTGAAGGAGTACTCATATCCTCTCGTATGAAATATCTGTAAACTAATTACAGGTATATCTACAAATACTAGCAGGATTTGCTGATCTCGAATAAATAGTTCTTTATAATATATTTAAGGATTAATGTTATACCTTGCGATTTTTAATAAGTTATAAGGTATTTCTTTCTTCTTTCTGCATGCCTTCGTGGTATAACGGTTAGCACATTCGGCGCGTATTCCAGAGGTCTGGGTTTCGAGTTCGGAGAGAGCACTGCGGATTTCATTGTTTCGAAAAATTCTAAAATGTATCTACAGTGGCGCCCATACTAAAAACGATGGTGGATAATGTTTCTCCACCACCAGGATTTGGTGATTGGTTCCCCTAATTCCCAGTTGTCCTTTAAAAATGGGAGTATATAAGGTATTTCTCCCGCCTTCTTACCATGCTTTCGTGATGTAATGGTCAAAACAATCGGCGCGTATCGAGAGGTCCAAGGTTCGAGTCCCGGCAAAGGCATTGTTCATTTTTCACGTCTCCTGCTTCGAAATAACCAAATGTCTCTAGGCAGTGTTACCAACAAACTGCTATCATTGTTATTTAATTGTTAAATCAGTTAAGCAGCGTTTCTCGAACTTATTTGAAGTTTGGGAACCACATTTATAGGTTAGAATATTCTGTCCTATAGTCCAGCTTATTCTTGTCCCTTCCGAAAGCAATCGTTTCAGTATAGGCTCCTGCCAGTATACTTAAATTTTTAAAACACAATAATTAAAATTCATTTTATTTTATAATTGTATTAAGTAATTCAGTTAACAGAAAAAAATTAGATACTTTTTAATTGCGGCGGACCACAACGATATCAATGGCTCAACTTCACATTACAAGAATCATAACTTTGCAAGGGTTCAAGGGATTTTAATGGTATGTGTTGTGTCCGTCACCAAAGCCTCTGTATCTCAGGGAGGAAGACGGACTAATGATTCTGTTGCTCCTTTGATATCGTTTCAATTATAACGAATCAGAAAAGGTAAAATACAACCGACAATTCAGAGGGCGTGACTAATTCAGTCTGGGAATAGTTTTAGACAAGACAGGAATTCAGAATGCTCCTTAAACTGTCGAATAGAGAGACTTTTGCGGCTAGCAAAATCTTAACATAATGATGACAATAACTTAAAATAATTTGCTTATAAGTCTGAGATGTATTGCAGTAATACATTCAAAATAAAGGTTCTCAAGCGTATACTCTGTTATTATAGTTTAAATTAAACGAATTTGTAACCACATGATATTCGTACTTGGTACAAACTATTTTTATATTGGTATTTTAAAATATCATCTTATTACATATGCACTGAGAAACCGCAATATTTTTAAAACAAGCTGCAGCACTACTCTGTGCCATGGCGTAAAAGAAAAATATACTTTTCCTGTGTCTGGAAGTCTTAAATTTGTTGCGTAAAACTTTCCCATCTCATCAAACAGATAAATTCCCTTTTGCGTGGTAATAATAGCTTCATTTTTCAGAAAGTTATGTCTGCTATTTTCTTTTCCTTTCTTTTCTTCATAAAATATGATTAATAGTGATTTTGAGAGCGGCTTATGTAATGTTCAAAGATTTTATGCCATTTTCAAGTGTTTAACGTCCAATGTTAAACTTTCTTGTCTTTACCCTCACTATTATTTTACATATAATATATTTATTAGCTTGGATGAATTTTTAAAGCTTTATTCTTATAGTTGACGCTAAAATGCACTTCGATCTTCTTTTATTAAAGTATATGTATGTGTGTGCGTGTGTGTGTTTAATCTTTTAGACACAGTACGATAAAACACAAAATTCCAATTTATGACTTGCCATTCATCACACACTAAATAAAAATGCCTAAAATTAGTAAGATCGTTATTACAAGTAATATAGGTTTTGTTGCTGTTCAAGCGATCGTTGCTTATATATTTAATTTAATTTAATTCTGCTAATTAATTATAACTTATTTTTTCCACTGAGCCATTAAGGAGGCAGATACAAAACAAAATTATATTGTATTAAGACAAATGCTAGGCTTAACGCACTATCGAATAGAACAAAAATTAAGTACCAAATGTTTTGGGGTTGACGAAAAAATGACGCACTTTTTCCATATAAAATGCCCTTTACTTTAAAATATTTTTTACCATTTTGATTAAAGTGTTTTCATTTTTATTTTTTCTACTATGACACATTTTTTCCAGACGGAAATGTTTCCGTCTTATGATAAAAAAATAACAAAAATTGCAAAATATTTTCTTTTTCATAAATTTTAATTACTTAATATTTTATTTTAGTGTTTGATGATGAATCAATTTTCAAATCATCGTTAAACTTTAGGATTCGTATTTTTGTTTCAGACATAGAATTCCAATTAACTCGAGAGAAGTCTAGCTAAATTCAAACAAAAGAATATTTATTCATCAACTTAATACTTTTAAAACTAAAAACGAAAATCTGTCGTTTTGATGGATTTAATAATTATAGTGTTCAATTTGTACTCGCAAATAAAGAAGTTGTTAAAACACGCATGGTTTCTCCTTTATTTGGCTGAAAGATTTCATCCCTCCAAAAAGTGTAATCACTTTTTATTCAGTTGTCGTATTCCGTAATCTACATATGCATTTGATGTTGTAAAGAGAAGTTACAATGTTGAAAAAATTGGTAAGTTGTTTTTTAATCTTTTACTCCAAAGCGTGCTCTATTAAAATGCCTACGGAAAAACCTGATTTTAGTGAATGCAGAGGATGTATTTGCATTAAGTATTAGCAACTTGATCGTTGTGTTTTACTACATAGAAACATTTAGAAAAATCTTAAATGTTTTGGATTCCAAATATAAATTAATATCACAATAAGAATTCAAGTAACTAAGAAATTCAGAAATTTCCTAAGAATTTGTTAATATGAAATTCCAATGAAACAACAAAAAGACTTAAGAGTCTTGACATGTCAAACACTTAAAACAAAAAGAAGCTGTGATTTACGAATTTTCATTCATACAAACGTAGTGCGAATGTAAAATATAGAAGACTGTTGCAAAAATCATTTGTTACAGTGAAAGGCTTCTTCCTGCGAACCAATAATGCGAATTTAGGCCCAGAACATAAAAAAATCAGATTTCCTTTTTGAATTGCATTCCTAGAAAGAAAGGAAACAAATAAATTACAAGGTCATGAAAGATTTATTAAGAAACAAAATAATACAAAATCTAATCTTTAATACAAGTATTAATTAATCTTAATAATAACTAAGATTTAATCTAATCTTTAGTACAAAATCTCACTTCAAAAATTATTTAAACCGAAGTCATTCTGGTATATCATTTAATGCAGGAAGGCTTTAAAATTTACTTTAAATCTAAGATCATTATTATCCTCCTACATTTACACAAAAATCGCTGAACCTTTATTACTTCCATTAAGTGTAAATAAATGCACTTTTCCAAGCACTCGAGATAATTTAAATGCATGAAATATAAAACTATATCCATTTACGTACATTTCCTAAGTATAAATTATTGCTCCTGCGCTTTCCTAATAGTTTATGAGAAATTAGTTTAAAAGTGCACGAGGTAATTTCAAGGAACAATAAAAAATTTCCCCCCTTTCATAACGACGAAATACTGCTGTTATTGCACTTTTCGTGAGCTCCGAGTATAAAATATGAGTGACGGAACGAAATCAAGAGGAGAAATCGATAAGTGGAAGATTCCTATTTATTCCGCAGAAGGAACAAAGCGGGAGAAATAAAGCTTTATCAGTTAGCTAAATTCTCTCATTCAAAGGCAAAGTGAGAAAGAGTTTTCTCTTGAAAGGCTGAGACCACGAACTTGAAAGGAAATTCACCCCATCAACGTTTTTACAGTTTGCCGAATAACTTCCAATAACTGGGAGGTGTTACTTAATTTCCTATTCCTAATGCGAGTTTCATGTCTGGCTTAATCAGTTTGCGTTCTGCCCCTTTCAAGTATTCCCTCAGGTTTCATCCTATATCTCAATACAAATTCTACCGAGATGTATTAAAGTAACCGCATTAACTGAAGTTACACGTTTGACAGATAAGGAGGGGCAGAAAGTTTGTTGCCAACAAAAACTTAGCGAGAAATTGTGGAGTTTATTCGTTACTACCACTCGGGATTATCCCCCTCCTCAGAGCCCAATTTAAAAAACTAGAAGGCAAAACTTCTCATGAAGACCCCTCTTACACTAACTTCTTTCAATGTAACAAATATCACTCATGCCATTTATATAAATTATTTCATGAAATAACCTAATAATTTGCTCTCGTTTAAAGCTATTTAAATAAAAAATACATTTTACATTTCCGCATGATTTATTTTCCTGGTTTTAACTTGTTATGATTTACATAAATGTATGTAAGGTAAAAACTAGGTAACATAAAATAACTTTAATTTGCAGTAGTTTGTGAACTCTCCATTTTAATTTGGCTATTTCCCCTTTGCATCCTAAAACAGTAACTACTTATTATAAATCTCTCAGAGCTGCATCATTGCAAATTTAATCCATATCGTTTGATGTTTGCTTAACGCTCACTATGCAAATGCTACAATCGATAGTGATTTCTAATTAAGGAAGCGAAATATATTATTAACCATTGGGAACAAATCTGACGTCGAACGTCTGTACGTCGAACCTCCGCCCTCCCCGTGGGTAGACGTAGAGAACTCTGCGAAGCTAATGGCTAGGATCTGTACCTAGGCAGTCTCGGCCAGGGGTTATACAAATTTTGAACCTTGTGAATCTGGAGGCCCCAGAAAGATTATTTATTGGTCGGCCTGTGGACCTGGACCATAGGGCTCTAGTAGCCCGGGGGGTAGCGGCCCAGGTATCCTGGTAATGGTCCTGAGTGATGGGCAGCCCGAGCGACTGGCAGATAGGAAATCATAGACAACAATCGGTGTCGCGAAAGCGATGCGTCCCTCTCTCCAAGGTGCGAGGGCAGGGGTTGAACCCCTGTACTTGGTTCGGTGGGGCGAGGGAACTCTTAGTGTAATTTAATTAACGGAAAGAGTGATGCCTCTAGTTATGTACGCCTAACCTGGTCCGAGTAATTACTTAGCAGGAGATAAAAGTTTGTCTACAGAGCTGATATGTGACGATTCGCAAGCAAAAAGCGGATGGAAAAATTTTATATTCGCAGAGCAGAAGATTTCTTGACCTTGAGTTAGAGGATGAATGCGAACTGCGAAACATTAGATTCACTGATGTTTATTAAGTTCCTGATTTAAAGAGTAGTTTAATTTCCGTTAAGCAAATTCCTATCGAGGGTATTATATTACTTTCGAAAAAGAAAATTATTTCTTCAAAAGGGATATCCAAATAATTATGCGCACGTATTCCGATGATAATAGTTTATCTAAAATTGTTTCTGAACAAAAATCCAAAAAACGTTAATATTGCGGTAGAATGTAAAAATAAAAATTGTATACAAATGTGGCATTCAGGTTTAGGGCATCGAAGTTATGACGCAATCAGACAATTAGGAATACAAATTCTTGCCGAAGGAATACAATTAGATAATTGCATTCATAACGACAGCCATTCGGAAGGCGTAAAAAAAAATGCAATAAATTCCTTATTAAGAAGCTGCTAGAGTTTGCGTAAATAAACCACTTGAACTTATACCTAGTGACATTTGCGGGCTTATGTTCACTCCAAGTACTGAGGGGGGGACATTTATTTTATAACGTTTGCTGATGACTACTAAATACACCGTTATTCATTTGATTGCTAAAACGAATGATGTTCTTAGTAAATTCAAAGACCTTTTGTCATAACAAGGAACAAATTTGGAAGAACCATACATACTCTCCGAATGGATAACGGCAGTGAATACATTCGCAAAGAAATAGAGAAATTTCTGTCGAGTAACGGCATCAAACATCAACTTACCGTTCCCTTTTCACTCATCAGAACGAGTGAAAGAAGAAAGAGAAGCCGTACTGAGATGGCCATGTGTCTGCTGTCCCAAGGCCGATTTTCAAACAAGTTCTGGGATAAAGCTGGCAGCACAGTAAGTTATATTCAGTACCGCCTTCCAAGTAGAGCTTATGATAAAATACCGTATGAATTATGGTGCGGAAGAAAACCTAATCCAGCTCATATGAAACAATTTATTTGCACAGCCTGTGTATATGTGCATAAGGAAAACCGAAGAAAATTAGTGGCAGAAATCAATTGAAGGAACTTTTGCCGGTTACGATCAACGAACAAAGGGATACAGAATCTATGCAGGAGAAAATCGTATAATTTTCCGTAGAAACGTAAAACTTGTCGAAGATCAGTGAATGAAAATACTGAAATTTCCCTTCATCCAAAGCCTAAAGAGAATGAAAACAACGAAGAAACTTAGAAAAAAACCTAGAATTATAAATTCGGAAAAGAGCCAAGACCATCAGAAAGGAAAAAAGGGGAGACCACCAGAACGCCTAAGATTCTTAACAAACACAAATAAAAATATACCTGAGTATTGTAAAGACTTGGATAAGTTGAATTCCGAAGAAAATTAAAATGGTTACTCTCAACTGACGAAGAAATCAAATCCTTATCCCAAAATAAATCTTGGGAACAAGTTGAGCTTCCTGTACGAAAGAAACCTATTGGATGTCGATAGATTTTCAAGATAAAAGAAAACGTAGACGGAACAATTATTCGTTACAAGACGCGACTAGTCGCAGAAGATTATAGTTAAAAATTTGGATCTGTCTACGATTATACCTTTGCATCAGTAGTTCGACATATACCATGAGAACCTTTCTTGCTATCTTAACAAATAGTGAAATGTACTTAAGGCATGCAGACGTCATCCAGCGTTCCCACAAGGAAATGTTGAAGAAGAAATACACATGCAACAGCCGGAAGGCACAATTCAATCAAGACAAGAAAAAATTTTTGCAAATTGAGAAATTCGCTTAGCGGCTTAAAGCAGGCTGCTAGAGCGTGGAATAAAAGGATCGAAGAAGTGTTAAAGAACAATTTTAAAGAAAGATGGACATGACACGCGGATTATAGATGTGAAGCTATTATAGCGTATTATAGATGTGAAGTGGACGTCGGAAATAGCCAGAATTCGTCTGAAACCTCTTTTATACAATTGCAAAATGTGCACAAAGAAACTTTTAGATTCCTGCTAGTATTTGGAAAATCATCCTTTACGTCTCTTTTCATTAGATCATACAAAACGTTAAAGCTTAATAAAAAGATTTGATTCAAAATTAAGTTATTCATTTCAATAATAGGTCCATCAGCGGCGAGCAATAAAATCGTTGAATACTGATAGTTTCTCTTCAGGTTCAAATATTGGCTTATTAACCGACTGCAGGGTATATTAATTTTATTATAGCAACGCACGTAAGGGATATCTGCTTAAGAAAAGCGATGCCTTCGTGGAGGATTTTCTAAGAGAACCTGTATTCACGTTATACTGTATTTCTCCTGCCTTCTTAGCGTTCCTTTGTGGTGCAGTGGTCTGCATGCTGGGCGCGAATTCCAGAGGTCCGTGGTTCGATTTCTGGAGAAGGCGCTGGTTATTTTCATCACTCCTGGTTCAAAAATACCTAATGTCTCTACAGTAACGCCCGAACTAAAACGGTGGTGGAAGATTATTCTCCACACTCAGGATTTGGCGATTGGGTCCCCTAAAAACCCCGTCGTCCTTTAAAAGGGGAGTATATAAGGTATTTCTCTCTTTCTTTAGTGGGCCTTCGTGGTGTAGGGGTCTACATGCTGGGCGCGTATTCCAGAGGTCCGTGGTTTGATTCCCGGCAAAGGCGCTGCTCGTTTTTCATCGTATTCAACAACTTACCGCTCTGCCGCTGATGGACGGCTAACTGAAGGGAGCTTTTGTAATTTTCCCTGGGTTTAATGTGAATATGATTCCCTTTAAAAAGTTCTTTCTGAAGGCATCCGTTCTCTTAAGTAGATAGTCCTTGCAGGCTTTGCTGTATTTCTAATGAATCAATACATTTCAGGCATAAGTAGAGATTGTACTGTAGACATTCTTTCGAAAATCTTTGTACTATGCGTATCTTCATTAGATCATGAATCCTCTTTCATAAATGAAGGAAGAGACGAATATGCATAATATGCATACTAATAATATTTTAATTCAGGTTTTAA